TGAATGTAGTTGAAGTGGTCCCGACGAGATTGGTATGTCGTAGTCTGTTATGCCTTTGATGTACCTGAGTAGCCTCTTGAGAAGGTATGCATGATATGGTTGTGGGTTGTGCATGTGCTGACAAAGGAGATTTACATGAAATGCAATGTCGGGTCGTGTTATGATTAGGTATTGAAGAGATTCTGTTATTTGTCTATATGTGTATGGGTCTGTGAGAATGGGGTCAGGTGTTATTTGTTGTGGTGGTTTGGTGCATGATGGGTTGGAGAGAGGTTTGCATGTATTGAGTCTTGTACTTTGAAGTAGTGATTTGGCGTATTGAGTTTGAGATAGAAAAAGTGAGTTTTTATGGGTGGTGATGTTGATGCCAAGAAAATTATTGGTTGTGCCTAAATGTTTCATAGAAAAGGTGCTATGCAATTTCAATATGATGCTGGAGATGAGAGATGAGTTGTTACCTGTGAGTAAAATGTCGTCAACATATGTTAGTATGTACACCTGGGTGTCGTCTTGCGAGAGTATGAGTAATGAGGGATCAGCTTTGCTTGGTTGAAATCCTATTTGTTTTAGGAATATTGAGAAGATTGTAAACCATTGTCTTGATGCCTGTTTAAGACCATAAATTGCCTTGTGAAGAAGGCAGACATGGTCTGGATGTTGATTGTCTTCATAGCCCTGAGGTTGTCTCATGTATATGGTGTACGTCAGTTTGCCGTGTAAGAAAGCATTAGCCACATCTAACTGTTGTACTTCCCAATTCTTGTTAAAGCAATGGTGAGTAATATCCGAATGGTTTGGAATTTGGCCACTGGACTGAAAGTTTCCAGATAATTAATCTCATATTGTTGTTTGTCCCTGAGCTACTAGTCGTGCCTTGAATCTGGCAATTGAGCCATCATAATGGAGTTTGGTTTTGTATGTCCATTTGCATCCAAGGATGGGGGTATTTTTCGGTGGTGGAACCAGAGACCAAGTTGCTTGCTGTTGCAATGCAACGAATTCTGTTGCCATTGCTTGTCTACAGTGTTGATATTTGGATGCCTCTTGATATGTAATTGGATTTGGGTTTGGGTTTTGTTGGGCGTGAGAGTGTTGGTGTAATAGGTTTAGGATTGTTTTTGGTTTAATAGATCCTGTTTTGAATCTTGTTATCATCGGGTGTGTGTTGCAATGGGTGGTGGTATAGGTGATCGGGGTGTGGGGGAGGCTGTGTTGTTGGTGTTTGCTAAGGTTGGTATATTTGATGTGGTTGGAGTATGAGTGGTGGGATAGGTTTCGGGAGGGGTAATGTGTATGGCTATGGTGGGTTGGGTGGTGGGTGTAAGAAGAAATGGGTTGTTTGGGACGGTGGGTTGTGGTGATGAGGGTATGTTGGTTTGAGCAAATGGAAATGTGTTTTCATGAAAGGTTACATGTTGTGAGATGGTTATGTGATTGCTAGTTGGGTTTAGACATTTGTATCCTTTGTGGGATGTCGAATATCCTATAAAAATGCACGATGTAGCTCTTGGGGCCAATTTGTGTTTGTTGTGTGGGGGAATCCAGGGGAAGCACTCACATCCAAAAGTTCTTAGTATGGAGTAGTCAGGGATTTTGTGATATAGCAGCTGAAATGGAGTACTGTTGTGAGTCGTATGAGATGGCATCCGGTTGATTAGATATGAGGTAGTGAGTACTGCGTCTGGCCAGTATGAGTATGGTACAGATGTTGTGTTTAACAAAGTTCTTGTTGTTTCAATGAGGTGTCTGTGCTTTCTTTCGATTATACCATTCTATTTTGGGGTGTAGGGACATGATATTTGGTGTATAATCCCCTGTTTTTGTAAGTATGTTTGTAATGTTTAGTTTACATATTCTATTCCCCCGTTTGATCTAAATTGTTTGAGTTTATGTGGGATTTGTTTTTCTATCCTTTTATGGAATATGGTAAAGATTGATGGCACTTCTGACTTGCATTTCATGGGAAAAATCCATATAAACCGAGAGAAATCGTCTATGAAAATGACGTAATAACGAAATCTTTGATATGATGTGATTGGGGCTGGACCCCATACATCTGAGTGAATAAGTTCTAATGGGAATTTAGAATGGGAAACATAAATAGGAAATTTCAAGTTATGGCCTTTAGCGACCTTACAAGCAGTACATAAAACAAAGGATGTGGGTATTTTTAGTTGGTGGTTGGTGTTGGAGATGATTGCTATGGTTCGAATGTGGGGATATCCAAATCTGTTGTGCCATGTGGTTGCAGCTTGGTGATAGGAGAGAGGGCTGATCGATGTATGCGTGGGGAGGTTGGGATTGGGTAGAGTCCATTACGGCTTGGACCCTGAAGCAGAGTTTGTTTGTCTTGATATCCTTGACAATGAAACCAGAAGCATCAAATGAAATGGTAATGTTATTGTCTTTGGTTTGATGATAAATGGAAAGAAGGTTGTGAGAGAGATTTGGGATGTGAAGGAGTTGGGATAATTGGAACTTACGGTTGGGGGTTGGGAGAAGCCCAGCTCCTGTGTGGGCTATGGGAAGTGTGCTGCCATATCCAATTTGTATGGTGTCTGTTCCATTGTATGGTATGGGATCACCTAACGTGAGACTGTTAATATCATTTGTGAGATGAGATGTGGCGCCTGAATCCAGATAGCAGTCCGGGTTGGGATTGTCATTAGTGGCTGTAAGAGCTGTGTTGCCTTTTTGTGGTGGCGGAATGTAATTGATGTTGAATCTGTGCCAACAATTCGTGGCCGAATGTCCCTTCTTGTTGCAGATTTGACACTGCTGTGCTGGTTGAGTGTTTGGTCGAGCATTCTGGAAATTGAATCGACCTCTTCATTTTCTTCCTCTACCTCTGTTAGAATATAGTGCTGTATTTTGATCTGGGGGATTGTATTGTCTTGAAGCTTCCGCATTGAGGTTCTGATCGATCAGAACCCATTCGGTGTATTTTGAATTGGTGATTGTAGATCCATCAGTGGATTGCTGAAGAAGGGTTGGTGGAGAAGCATTTGGATCGATGAAACTGGTAAAGCCATTTGCTCGTGGTAGTTTTGTGACTTAGGATTTCCATATGGGGTAGTTATCATTTGATAATTAGGTGGGTACAATTGTTTTAATGTTTGAAATAACAAATTTCAAGGATGCAGGTATGATGGAAGAATCTATGGCTGATTCGGATGCTGAATTTCCAGTTTGGGAAGAAGAAGATTGCGCCATGAAAAATGATAAGATGACTTACCTCCTTAAGATCTTCTGTCTGTACAGAGGACCTGAGCAATGATACCATAAAGAAATTGAGAAGTGGAAAAAGACAGGAAATGATGCTAAAACTTCTGTGACTTAAAGTCACTATAGGCTATTTCTGAGATGTCTTTATTGTTTACTGTGCATCTGTATTTATGGTGCTCAAGTGTATACATGTGTGGCTATGATTTATTTCTTCTGTGTACACATGGACGGAGCTGATGGTAAGCATGTGGTTTGTTGTAAGTCGGCTGAGTTTGTCTGTCCTTTTTAGAAGTCAAATATGCAAAGTAATTTGAGAAAATTTCCTGATTGGAATAAATTTATAACAATTTTAATTGTCTACATTTATGAATCGTGCTTTGGCCTCTTGGTTTATATTTCGGCTTCTATCTTTTGAGGTCATGGGTTCGTGCTTCTACTTCTCTATTCATTTGTTATTTTTTTGGGAAAAAAATCAAGGAGTGTTATCCATTGTCTATTATATCAAAGGGCGTTTGTAACAGGCCTTATGCATCCTTTTATTATATAATATATGGGAACAGGCTATTATATTAAAAAAAAAACTTTTCTTCATGACAGGGGATTAAATTTACTTGCAACAAAATTTCATGAAACTCTCAAGAAATGAACAAAAATGAATTAGTAATTGTGAAATTACTTATTTACTTTACAAAGTGACTTCTTAAGATGAATTAATATGGTTGAACTTCATAATTCTAAAATTTAATATTTACGGGTGTCCAGTGTTTTCATTGTGGCTTCTTTATCCTATCATTTTTTTATTATTCCCAATAAGTTGGTCCCATTCACCCCCCCAACCCCCACTATGGTTTCATCAGTTTTCATCATTTTTGTTCTCTTTTTCTATGCAATCACACTCGGTTTTCTTTATCTCAACAGGTTTCAGAACTCTCTGAATGACCCGATGAGCGGGATTGGAGCAGTGGTTAGGTTTCTTTAGTGGGACGTGGAAGATCTTTAGTTAGCCAATGTGCATTTGGGTCCTCACTAGGGATACCTTAAACATTGACCAGCTTATCCTAAGTTTTTTGGATGAATCTCTTTATTGTGCGACTCTGCCTTGCTATGATTGTATCTTTTTGGATAGATTAAAGATTGTAACCAGCTTCATTGCTGGTCATGAAATCTAATTATGCTTTTTAAATTCTGCTTGAACTTTGTTTATGATCAATGGGGATTTTATTTGGAAGGAAAGGGAACTGTTCAGGCTTCTTGTTGATTTAAAATCATTTTGTTCAATCAGAATTCATATAATTCTTATAAGTGATTGAAAATAAGTTATCATTTTGGTATGATTAACATCATCTTTCTTTCAAAAAACTAATGCAACTTATGAAAAATACAAAATAATTAATGCTATGAGTATACTCCTAGTTAATTTGAAGCTTGTTTTTTTAGTAAATTTGATTAATTTATAGATGAGTAATCAAGATTTCTTGTTTGCCAAAATGGATTTCCTTTAAACAATATGCCGGTCTTCATTGAGGAAGAAACAGTATATAAAACCGTTAATTGTTATTTTTGTCTTGTAGTACTTAACGAACAACTTTGTAAGCTTTTTAATAAATATTTGTCTTGTCTTTCTTATCCTTTTGGGTCTTATTGGCTATCTTTCATCAGTTTATGTTTGTCTATACTGGAATTAGCTTTTATGCTTTTTTGAGCCATCGTGTATTCTATAATTAGATTTATTTTAAAAATAGCGTTTTAACACATGTTTTCGTTTTTTACTGCAGGTTGTTCTGTAATTAGTACATCTAGTGTTGGAGGCTCCATAACCTTTTTCTATGCAGTCCTAGGAGGAAATCAGTTATACTCTTGCCTTAAATGCAAAGGCATAGAAACTCTGTTGAATCAATTCCTGAATCTCTTCAAATTGTCTGTGGATCTGATTCAAATAGCGCTGGTATGGATCAATCATTTTTTGGGCGTAGCATGGTTCTAAATTCTGTGGAGACCCCTACCTTAGCGGACTATTTATTATCTCCTAATGATACGGACTTGGATTACCTGAACATGGCCCCTCGAGAAACTGATGGTTTAAATATCTGGAATTCACGTGACCCTGACTCTAGTGCGTATATAACAAACCAAGAAAATCATGGGACTAAAATGGATCATGGCTGGAATACTTCTCTTTCAATTAATTCTGCTGGTGGACGAAGAACAGATGAAAGGCCATGCGAAGGAAATAGAAATCTGTCATTCGACTATGCAGACTTGAATCTTAATAATACTCCTGCTGATGATGGTCAGGCAATCACACAAAGGTTGAATTCAAGTGATGTGAATCCGAGAATGGAGGAAAATGTGCAGGCTGATCCTCATAGCCAGATTATGGAAGTATCGTCATGTGCTTTTGTACTAGAATTCCTTGAACCTGAGCATGTTCCTTACTCAAATTCTAATGTAAGCTCCTCTAGTGGTGTTGGGAAGGTCTCAGAAGATGATGATAGAGCTAGAAGATCAGTTGATAGACAGCGTATGGCTTGTAAGAGGAAAGTCATGGAAGGGGTCAGTGGAGAATCTTCAACTAGTCGTAATATTTCTGCAGAATTGGACATGCCAAGTTCATCGAGGTATCTTCCTGCAGCTACTGGCTTAGAAGTCAATCAGAGTTCAGGTTACAGCACCATGCATGGAGGAGTTTGTTCCGATTGGAATCCAACTTCTGGCATTTCTGGAAATGCTGAAACCTCACAGAGGAATATTCGGGCGAGGCTTAATACTGCATGCCAGCATGATATGTTCCCTTTTCATTCACATTCTGCAATGACTAGTGATAGACTTTCTAGTATCTGGTCATCTGGTGATCCATCTTCTATTCTGAATCCTTTCAATCACTCAGCAGAACAAAGCCAGCCTCACATACTGCTTCCTGGTTTGTCTAGCAGCATTAACAATTCTCCATCTACGTCAAGATTTGGTAGTTCGTCACTTGCAGCCTATCCGCAGCGGAGATTAGTTGCATCTCCCGAGGAAGCAAATATTACAAGCTTACCAAGAAATGGCATTTTTGACCAATCAACATTTCTTACAAGAACTAATGTTAGTCATCTGGGTCAGGATCCACCAAACTGGGATCCACCTAATTCAAGCTTGAGTGTGCCAGGGAATAGAACTAGCAGTAGTTTAGGCGTCATGCCATCGCCAGGATCAATTAGGACACCAAGTGAGATAGTTCCTGCACAGTACCACAGAAACTTTTCTGAGGTTCTATGCAGCTCTTTGTTTCCATCGGGTGGGTCTGAATCTGGATATCAAAGTAATAATTTGTCTTCACGGCAATCTGGTCGTTCTGCTTCAATACAGGAGCCTGATCAATTATCCAGAACTGTACGCCAAGGACATTCCCCATTGTATTCAAGGGCAGCAGTTTCTATAGATCGACAACGTGATGGTGTTTCAGGCTTGCCTTTGTCTGCTAGAAGCAGAGATGGGAGAAGCAGGATGATATCTGAGGTATGCTAGATATGTTTATTCTCAAGATTTTTCTGTTTAATATCAAAGCTTCTGCTTTACTAAAAGAATTGGTATCAAAGGTAGAATTTTTGATATCAATATCTAACGATATTACTTTCTTCCTGGTTTCTAATTTCAGAATCTGATTTGTAATTGATACGCCTTGAAATCAGTGAAAAAACAATAATAAAATTGCTTGAAATTGAGAATTGATGGATGATTTTTGTATGCTCCTTGAATGTGAAATCAACGGAAAAAAAAAAAAAAACAACAATAAAAGTGGCAGAAATTGAGAATCGATAGATGATTTTTATATTAGTTCTTCAACACCAAAGCAAGATACGATAATCTATAATTAGGGAGGTCGATCGTCTCTCTCACTCAATCTAGACGCAGCTAGGATGTCCTCAAATAAAGAAAACTATAGCAAAAATCAAATCACATAATTATAAAAAACAACCCAGGTGATCCTAATTAAACTCTATCCAATCCTTCCTCCAAAAAGGCATTTTCATAATTAATTTTCCTCCCCTAATTGAATTTCAAATTCCAATTCTTTCCTTCCCTAATCCCACTTTATTCCACTCTCTCATAATGAAATTAATGTTGTTGGGCCTCACAAGGGGGCCTGAAATTCTTGCTTCCTACCCTCGGTTGGTCTGCCTCATCCAGTTGGATCGGTTGGCCCCCTCCCATTGTATCAATACTCTCCTCCCCAAAATGCACATTGTCCTCAAGGTGGAAGGTTGAAAACTGTCTAATGATAGTCTCATACAGCTCCCATGTGACATCATGATCTGACAGATCCATCCATTTGATTAGCACCTCTTGTGCCTCTGCCTCTCCTCTACGTATACCTACTACTTCAAGGGATTTCAAAATAACTTCCTTGTCCTTTGTCAATGTCGAGAGTAGTGATGATAGTATATGCTCTCCTTTTACCTTCTGTAACAATGAGGCATGGATGACTGGGTGCAACGCTGATGATGGTGGTAACCTCAATTGATAGGCTACTGCTCCAATGCACTCCAAGATCTCATAAGGTCTAAAGTATCAGTGGGATAACTTTTCATTCCTCCTCATGGCTAGTGTTTTATGTCTGTAGGGTCTCAATTTGAAGTAATCCATATATCCTTATTCAAAATTTACTTCTCTTTTGTGCCCATCAACCTTCCTTTTCATGATTTGTTTGGCTCTCAACAAATGCCCATTGAGCTCAAATAGTATCCTGTCCCTCTCCTCTAAATACTGCTCTACACTAGACTCTGGTGTAGTGTTGTCCCCATAGTGAATCAAATGGGGTAGGTCTCTCCATAGAGAATCCTAAAGGGAGTGATCTTTGCTGCTGAGTGGTATGAGATGTTGTACCAATATTTGATCCATGCAATTCACCATGCCCAATCCTTCGGTGTGTCTGATACAAATGGGGCAGGTCTCTCCATAGAGAATCCTGAAGGGAGTGATCTTTGCCGCTGAGTGGTATGAGGTATTGTACCAATATTCGGTCCATGCAATCCACCTTGCCCAATCCTTCAGTGTGTCTAATACAAAATATCTCAAATAGTTTTCTACACTTTGGTTGACTACTTCTGATTGTCCATTTGTTTGAGGGTGGTAGGCTATACTTCTCATCAACATTATTTCCTGTAGATGAAATATCTTCTTACATAAATGGCTAAGGAACACCTTGTCTCTGCCTGATATAATGGCCTTTGGGAACCCTTGCAAGTGTACAACTTATCGTATAAAAATAGCAACCACCGTGATCGCGGTGTAAGGGTGCTTCAAAGAGATGAATGTGCATATTTGCTTAGATGATCAACTACTACCAGTGTCACTGAAAACCCTTATGATCGTGGCAATCCTAGTCCTCTATATTGCGCGCATCACTGCCCAATATAACTCCCTGAAAATCGACTGTCTTCTGAACTCCGGAGTGTCACTTTATTGCACTGCCATGGAACTCTTGGAGTAGCTTGGGGATGTCACCAAAGGTACGAAATAGAAAAATCTCCCCTGTTAAAGTAACAGTCCCCCCTTCAGAACATAACTTGGGTGACGGCTGGATTCTTTAACAGCTTGTCCTTGATCTTTCTCACATTACGATAATTGTATCTATGTATCAATGTTCTATTGTATTTTACATAAATTATATCTTTTAAGTGATCATGATCCAATTTGTTTCTTCGTTTGCTATGAAGCTGCAATTGAAATATTATTACATTACTATACTATGAACATATATTAAAAAGCTTCACATTCTTCATATAAATGCTTACATGTTCAAAAATACTCCAATTGAGTTCGGAGCCTGATGAACTACATGTTAGACTGAGAACTTTGATAGCAAAACTTTATAAATTGGGAGCTCTTTGGCCATATGTCAACTACCAATAATTTGGAAGAAATGAAATACTTATTTTTTATTTTTATAAACTTGCTAATCAATCTTCATTTTATGCAAATAATGATACCTGGAGATTGCGTACTCCTTTATTTTACAGTGGGAGGAGTGCCAAATAGTCATTCACCTCTAATGTATAAGCTTAATTCATTGCTGATTTTATCTTCTTTATCTACATCTTTAGACAATCTTCCATTACATGAATAAAACCATCAACTATTTCTTTATCCATGACAATATTCAGATTATTGAAGAAATATTCAGGATTTAAAAAATGTGTCGTTGCATGCAGAGGTCAGTGTAATTGTACTTTCCAACTTCTATTAATATTTTTAAAAATTTGATCATATTTATCAATGGTACTAAAACTTGTAGCAATTGCCTCTTTTGCTCTATTTATTTCTTCATATATATAAGACATTCGGGGCTTCTTCTCTCCATCAAATATTCTAAAAATCTTTAATAAAGGCCTATCTATTTGTATGGCATACACAATAGTGTTCTAAATGATTGCTGCATGATTGTCTGTTGAGATTATTTTGCTTTAGTCTTTTTCACATAAGGATTCAAAATGAACTCTTCACAAGTAAACATTTTCTTCAATTTTAGTTGTTGATGAAAATGTTGTAATGTCAAGAAAGTTGTTGCGAACTGAGTCTTGGCGAGTCTGACAAGTGCTCTTTGGTTTGTGCATCTTCTAATTAAAATTAAACGAGACCTAGAGTATATAAACTTGTGTTCTACCATCACTTTTTCAAAGCATCGCCTGAGTTTTTCGATTTTGAAAATGTTTTTCATTATTAAATCCAAACACTGGGCAACATAAGGAGTTCAATAAATGTGAGGATATTTGTCTATCAATAATTTTTCTGTAATATCATTGGAATTTATGTTAGTATAAAAATTTATTCTTCATATTAAATAATGTAGGTTTAGATTTTGACTAACCTGCAAGAATATTTTAAGCTACATTATCAGTAACAACTTGGATCACAATACGTGCTCCAATAATATCAATATGCTTGTAAAATAGTTCAAATATTTTCACAGCATTCTCGGAAAAAGGACTGTCATCCATTGACTTTATAAATGCGTACCTCTTGGACAATTCACAAGAAAAGCTATCAAGAAAAGCTATCAAGCTTTTCCCATTCCTTGATGTCCATCCATCCGTCATTAGAGAACAACCATATCGTGCACAATCTTCTTGATGACATCATGATAGTTCATGTGTATGTCCAATCTCTTTCTTCAAACAAGGAACTGTACCTTTTGATAACTAGGAGGTTTCATGCCAGGTCCAAACTAAGTGCCTTGACCATAATAGGGAAACTGTCATATCTCACTGCATTAAATGAAATATTAGCATCATACATCCATCTACAAAAAACATAAATAGCCCTTTCCCTCATTTCCTTTTTAGTGGCATCCATCTCTTTGCTAAATTGACCTTTTCTCCGCTTTACTACATCTTCAGAATTTGGTGTAAGATAAATATCTAATGGTCCTTTGGGTCTTGATGATTTGAGGATTGATTCTGATGTTGAACTCTCACTAAAAGCGTTGGATTTACTTGTCCCTAATATTTTGGATGGATTAGCGTATAGAATATCATCATATGTTATGACATACAGGTCATCTCCTTCATTAAGGTTAACATCTGAAGTGTCATTAATATGATCTTTCAAATCCTTCTTCAACATGGATGCCTAATCTCAGTGTTAATATGCTCGGGGTAATTAGAGCAAGGTCTAACATTTTTGAAACCTCTAACAAGGTATTGTTTGTGGCGTGTAATTCTTCCTTTTGTTATTTTTCCATAAAAAAAATACATGTCACAATATTGTTATTGGCTTAATGAGTCAATATTGCATATTTCCATGCTATGCTCATTGTTTAAAATTGTGCAATATGGGGCTTGCCTCAGCACAATTCCAGCACAAAATGCCTTAAGGCTTACGCCTTAATCTTTTTTTTATGAGGTTTACGCCTCATCTTGGATGAGCCCCGGCTTGAGGCGTATCTCGCCTCATTGGCATGAGGCGTACGCCTCATTCTATTTATATATTTTTATTAATTTAAAACTCATCTAAAATCATATACAAAAGACCTAAAAAAATCATGCCTTCTTACAACCCCAAGCCTCAACGACTTTCTCTCAATTGCGTCGACCTCTAGCCCATTGCCTTCACTGTAGCCACCACTATTGTAGCTAACGCAAGGGATCTCTAGAAAGCCGCATACCAACACTATCTCTTAAAATTTTGGAGTATTATCTTTATGTTGATGACAAATATTTATGAAATCTGAAGATGACTGAAATAATTGAAGAAGCAGATTGAGAGTTATTGGACCCTATAGGTTGAGACAGGAGAGTGACCAATCTGTTATTACAGTGACTCAAATAAAAATTTTCTTAGTAATGATATTACAAATAATTTTTGAGTTGTCAATTATTTCAACTTTCTTTAGGAATTAAACGTAGATGTGTAGGCAATTGAGAAAGAAAAAAAATAGAGTTGAACTTGATGTTATATGATACTTTTATGTAATTCATATATTTTATATTGTTTTGTCCCAATAATATTTGAATTTTAATTCTATTTTACATAATTTATCA